CTGTCCAGTGGGCTCAGCCACGGCGTGGGCCTCTGCAGAGGAGCTAGTGCCAGGGCCCTGTGGAAACGGYGCCCCCAGGCGGGGCTCCCAACTGGAGCTGGTCCCTGGCAGCGGGTAGGTTTCCGAGGGTGCAAGGACGCTGAGGCCAGCAGACAGGAAGGCTGGGGAGAGAGGACAGAGGCATGGGCCCCAGGCGGCCTCCACCCCCGGCCACGCCCCCAGGAGCCCTCCTCCTCAGGCTGCACCCATGTGCCTCTAACTCCAGCAAGGCCCCCTGCCTGCCAGGCCTGTGTTCAGTGTCACCTGGTCAGCWTCACTCGCAAAGTAAAGGTTCACTTAAGATCTTTTCCCCAGAAGCTCCTGGAGAGCGGAGATAGACAGGACCCGACTTGCTCCCCAGGGAAGAGTTGTTTTGTTTTTTTTTTTGGTATTGGGGATTGAACCCAGGGGTGCTGTACCACTGAGTTACACCCCCAACCCTTTTTATGTTTTATTTTTAGACAGTTTCTTAAATTGCCAAGGCCAGCCTTAAACTCGGGATCAGTCCTCCTGCCTCAGCCTCCCAAGTGGCTGGGATTACAGGCACAYGCCACCATGGTCAGCCTCCCCAGGGATTTTTTTCTTTTAATAAACATATACATACTAGGGATTGAGCCCAGGGGCCCTTAGCCATTGAGCTACATCCCCAGCCCTTTTAATATTCTATTTTGAGAAAGGGCCTCACTAAGTTGCTCAGGGCCTTGCTAAATTGCTTTGAACTTGCGATCATCCTGYCTCAGCCTCCCGAGTTGCTGGAATTACAGACCTGCACTACCACACGGGGTTCCCCAGGGAACTTTTAAATGACCCTGTGGCTGAGAGCTAAGGCAATTGTCTCACCTCCAGCCTTAGGTTCCATACCTGTCACCAGGGGTTCTTCAGATCTGCCCCCAGGGCTGATGTGAGGATTGGGARGACACACACAGGGCCTGGCACACAGTGGCCCCTTCACAAACACCCCCTGTTACACATGATGTGCACCGAGGTCGCAAATACCATATGATCCACTTTTGGATCTATACCCTTAAAAGTCAAAAGGAGGAACCCAAACAAAGGGTACATCCATGTTCATAGCAGCATTTATTTACAGTAGCCAAAAGGTAGAAATGACCCAAGTTTTCTCTGACAGAGGAAGGCACAAATGAAATGTGGTATGGACATGCAACGGAATGTTACCCACCCTTAAAAGGGAAGAACAGCATGGTGCCTGATTATAATCCCTGAACTCAGGAGGCCGAGGCATGAGGATCACAAGTTCAAGGCCAGCCTCAGCAATTTAGCATGACCTTGTCTCAAAATAAAAAAAAGTGTGGGGGATGGAGCTCAGTGGGAGAGCACGGCTGGGTTCAGTTCTCAGTACAAAAAAAAAAGGGGGTGGGGGGAAGACCTTCTGACACTTGCTGCAACCTGGAGGGACTGTATGCTTCTCCTCGCKAGAGGCACCCGAGAGGTCAAATTCATAGAGACAAAAAGTTGAGMGGTGGTTCAGGGGTTAGGGGCTGGGAGTGGTTTGGTGGGAGGAAGCTGGAGCTCTCCAGGGTACAAACAGAGGCCCCTGGGGCCCTCAGCCTGGAGGGTGCAAGGGTCTCCGGAAGGGACAGGAAGATTGGATGGGCTGACGTMCCCTACCACCCAGGGCCAGGTCATCAGGGGCCACTGCCTGTTGCTCAGCTGCTCTGCCTGGGCAGGTGGCCCCTGCCAGCCACCAGGGTCTTGACAAAGGTCCCAGGGGAGGGGCTCATGGCTTCCCTGGGCCTGGGGGCCATGCAGATGGCACTGGCCCCAAGCCTCCTCCAGGCTCCCTGCCCACCCCAGTCACTGTGTYCCCCTCAGCTTTTCCAGGATCTCCGGGAGGGGAATGTCCTCGGCTCCATCTTCTAGAAGCCACACCTTTCCCAGAGGCACAGAATGCCAGGTCTGGAAGGGAAGTTAGAGGAGTCTTGCTCCAGGTCGGGGCTGAGGTCCAGAGATGGCAAGGGACACACAGGTCACATATGAGGCTGGCATCTCCCAGAAGTGGCTTTGTGCCCCTGCCTCCCCCCGACCAAGAAAAAAAAAAAAAAAAAAAACCAGCACATTGTAGGCTCCAGCCATCAGCCCTGCCTCGCTCACCCTGGAGCCTGACCCACCCATCGGCCATCCTGGKGGCCCACGCCATACCTGCCATGGGGATGGCCCAGATGTCCACTTCCTGAAGAAACCTCAGCTGGGGCTGGGCTGTAGCTGCCACCCAAGGGGCCCTGCCTGCTGGGCGGGTCGCCCGCTGCCCCAGGTCTGCTTGTCCGCCCAGCACCGCAGCTCAGCTTGGGCACACACGGTCCTTGGTGCAGTCTGTCCTCGTCCCCTGGTGGTGAGGTTCTCCCTTGCTGCTGTGCACCTGGTCTCTGCAGGTGAGACCCTGGCTCAGGGGTCTGCAGGGTCCCTCTCCAGGCCACCCTCCGACTGCAGTGTCTGAGGCTGGGCCACTGGCGGGGCTGGTCCAGCTCCAGGGGCGGGTGCGTGCAGGAGGGGGCAGTGGGAAGGCTCTGACGTCRCGAAGCCCCCTCCCTCCCAGTCCTCCTCCCCGGCTCCCTCCCTCCCCCAGCCAAGAGCCTCCAGCCATTCCTGATCAATGGGCCCAGGTGCAGGTGGGAGTGGGGAGCCCAACTTGAGGACAGGCTCTGTGCCCCCAGAGGCCCCATCTGGCTGGAGGGGTGGTCGACGGGGCCTTGGGGAGACTGGGAGGGAGCAGTGGTGGCAGGAGATGAGGATTGATGGCAAAAGTGGTGCCCCCCCTTAGGACCCAGACCCCGTCCTGGGCCCCTGCTGGTGTGAAGTCAGGGAGGGGCCTGAGCAGGAACCGCAAGGGACAGCAGCTGAGAGTGTGGCCACACCGAGCCTCCAGCCTGGTGGGAGGAAGGTTGGGTCCTCCTGACGATGGCCTCAGGAGCCTCAGGGGACACTGGCAGGTCCCTGGCGATCCTTGTACCTCACTCTTCCTAACTGACCTCAGAGAATCGTGTTTTCCACCCGGGACAGCCCAGCCCAGCCTGGGGGCGGCAGGCCTTCCCCGCCTGGAGCAGGGGACAGTACCCTTGGTGAGGGTCCCTGTAGTCCTGATGAGTACAAGTGGAGTCTCTGAGGCTGCCCTGGTCACAGACCTTTGAGTGGGTGTCYGTTCTGCCTAGAAGTCCATCTGTGTTGACTTGTCCTCTTCTCCAGGCAGTGCTGGCCTGTCCTGGGCCAGGCACTCAGAGGCCAGCACTTGGGGACTGCAGGGTCCCAGAGGGAGGCAGAGTGGTGGCTTCCCCTGAGCTGATCCCTGTGCCTTGGCTGAGGTGCTCTTGGGCCACAGAGTCCGCGCCTGGCTGCCCTGGGTCAGTCCACCCTGGGCTGGAGCCCCCAGGCGGAGCCGGGACCCCACAGCCCCTCYCAGTCTGGCGTAGGATGTCTGGCTGAGGAAGCCCCACCCTAAAAAGAAGCACGGGGACAGGGGACAGGGGTGGGAGGGGCTGCTTCTCTCTAATCCTGCCCCTGCGGACCTTCTTCTTCCTGCAGCTCAGGGATGGGCGCTGGCTCAGTCCCCTGCGTCCCACATCCCAGCGTGCAGGGCCAGAAGGACCCAGCTGAGACGGGTGGGCTCAGGGCTGTAAAGGCTTCAAGAGTACCCATCCCTCCACGGCCCGGGGGAGGAGGGCTCTGTGCAAGGTGGAGGGTCCCAGTGGCCTCCAGGGCCACCCAATGAAGTGTGGCTGTCCCACCCTGTCCCAGGGCTCCCAGTGGGGGGTGATGGAGAGGGCGGGTCCGTCCCAGCCCAGGCTTCCTTCAGCCTAGATGCCCAGGAGTGGCCGCCTGGGGCTCTGCGGGCTCCTGATGGTGTGCACAACTGTGACCTGTGTGATGGAAACACCCGCGCACCCACACCGGCACGCGCATACCCCCCGCGCACACCCCCGCACACCCAGCGCTGGGGCTTCCCGCAGACACCGCTGGCGCACAGCAGGCACCCGCTGGCTGCCCTTCCGCCCCAGGCGCCCGCTGGCCCCTGCCCCTCATCCATCTCGCCTGCCAGCCTGTCCCCGGCGCCCTCGTGTCTTTCACACCTTCTCATCTGGCCGCTCAATACCAGGAGGCAGCGTGGCAGCGTGGCCGCGGGGAGACGGATGGGCCAGGCGGGGRCAGGAGAGCTCGGCGCTGGGCTCCAGCGGCCCCTCCAGCCACGCCCCTGTCGGGTTGAGTGGCTGTGGGCAGGTGGCACTCCCGCCAGGCCGCCCTGTCCTGCCCTGTCTGTGCCGCTGTGACCGCCCTGAAGGGGACCTGTGTCAGGACTCAGGGACCCAGCGCTGGATCCTGATGCCCCGTGGGGCCTGGGGATGGTGGAGGCGGTGGAGGGGAGCCTCCTTGGGCTCCCTGCTAGGACTCCCTGGWGCCTCCACAGCTGGACAGCTGTTCTGGGTGTCCCTGACCCCAGCTCGACTCCCGGGAGTCACCGATGACCACACACTGGCAAATGCACATGTGGGCTCTGCGCCCAGCCATGGACAGACCCCTCAGAGGAACGCCCAAGGTCCTGGGCTCCCGGAAACACACACACACACACGCACACACCAGAGGACTCCAGGTGGCACGTCACAGACACGCACACGTGTGTGCACAGACAGGACATAAGTGTGCAGCTCGTGTCTCTGCTCTCCCCAGACCACCATCCAGCCACAGGACTGCTGGGGGCTAGCACCAGGACAGTCCCCCTCCAGGTTCTTCTCTGTACTATTGGATCTTCCCCCAGGTGTGTGGACAATGGTGGGCACAGAGACAGCCACCACTGGCCCCAGGACACACAGCATAGCCACAGCTATACTGCCAGACCTCCTGGGATCCTGTGGTTAGTTCTCCCTTCCTCCTTCCACCTCCTCAGCCAGAGAGGGGCTGCGTAGGACAGAGGACACCAACCATGGGCCCTGGACATTTATTGCTCAGACCGACGGCAAGGCCTGCAGTGTGGCTTGGGTTAGAGAACCTTCGTGGGGGTGGGTGACAACGGTGGCAGTGGGGGCACAGAAATCATGAGCTTCTCGGTCCGGAGGAAGGCAACGTGCTTCTCATAGTAGGCAGCCTCGTTGATGAACACGGGGTACACAGTGGAGTCCCCCTSGTACAGCACTTCCTCACCACTGAACTTCTGGAAGATGGGTGCACCTGGCTGYAGAGGCTCATAGTCCCTGTCCTGGAGGAGAGCCAAGGCCAGCTGGTGACACTCAAGAGATTGCCCTCATGGCCTTGTCCCACTCACCCTTCACTTCTTCCATCCATGTGACATGTACCTGGTGACATGCCAACTGCTCTGTGAGTAGAAATGGAGATATCAGTCACCTTGAAAAGGTGGTTGTCATTGTGGAAGTGTTGCCTAGTGGTTATGGGCACAGACATGTCAGTGCTCAAAGTCTGAGTTCAAATCCTTGTTAGAGCAAGTTCCTTAACCTCTCTATTCCTAGGCTTCTCATCTGTAAAACGGAGATTATAATATCGCCCCCTATCATTCTGAGATCTAAATTCAGTGGGTTAATAGTGCTGAAAACATATTTGGCACACAGTAAGTACAATATAATATGGTCATGTGCCACTTAATGATGGGGTTAGTTCCAAGAGATGTGACATTAGTTGATTTCGTCATCATGGGAAACTTACAAGGTGTATTTCACAAGCTGACATGGCGGAGATGCCACTAGCCAGGACTCTTGCAGGACAGGTTCCCATATGCTGTCTGTCGTTTAGGGAAATGTCGTGGCAGGTGATGGCACTAAATGCTTCACTGAATATCTGCAAGGCGGATCTGACCTCAACACTGCCAGGTCCGCCTCCACCTGAATGTCTTTACAAGTAAGATAGCACCTCAAAACAAAGCTGCAGGAAACAAGGGCCGGGCCGCACAAGACCCGGTTCCACAGTGACCCTGTGAGCCGAGCAGCAACTGGCCCCTCTACAGGAGCAGACACCGGGTTGCCGGATTCTGGAACATTCGGAAAGGGGAGGCTTGGAGAGGGGCACTGCTCAGCCTGCTCACAGGCGTTGGATGCCCGCACATCAACTGGAAGGCAGGGCTCCTCTGTGCAAGCGCAGCGGGTGGCCACAGCCTCCCTCCCTCGGCCCACAGTTGAGGATGCTGTGGCCCCAAGGGCCAGGCCTGAGTGTGGAGGTTCCCGGGGAAACAGAAGGGGCGGGGTGGCGACTGCAGCCARCCCCTGTCCAGCTCCGGGTGATGCGGTGCTGGGGACCCTGGGGGGCCCGGTTTCTCTGCACCCCCAAGGCCATGGCCCCCAGCCTCCCGCGCACCTCTCACCTGCAGCTGCGGGTGCACCATGCCGGCCAGGTCCCCGTCCTGGGTGCGCGGGAAGTCCTCGCCGCCCAGGTTTCTATAGACTTCCATCTCGAAGGCRGGGAAGGCCGCGCCTGGCGGAGGCTGGGGGTGAGAGCCGCCCGCTCCGACCCGGCTGGACGGCCCCCGGACCCCAGGTCCCGGCCAGCGCCCGGGGCTTCTCACCCTGGTTGAAGAGCTCCATGAAGTCCAGAGCGGAGGCCACCAGGGCTCTCATCCTCGAGAAGACGTCAGCGCGCAGCACGCCCTGGGGCTGCGGGCCCAGCTCCACAGCTGGGGACCCGAGGGGGGGTCAGGCAGGTGTCCCCCGGGCTGCGCCCCCAGGCCCCAGGCCCCAGGCCCCGGCTCCCGGAGCCCCGCCCCCGGCCCAGGCCCCGCCTCCCGGAGCCCCGCCCCCGGCACAGGCCCCGCCCCTCAGCCCGGCCCCGCCCACTTCCCCGGAGTCCTGGGCCCACTCATTCCATTCTTGGCCACAGAGTCCAGGCTGAAGCTCTTCCTCGCCGACTGCGGTGGCCGGGTCAGGAGCACCTGGCAGGGCACCTCGGGGAACTGCAGCTGGGTGGGAAGGGAAACAGGCGAGGAGGGAAGTGTGCAGAAGGAACCTGACTCCGGCCTCCCTGGCCAGCCTCCCTGGCTGGCAGCCTCCCTCTGCACTCTGGAGGGGCTGGGGTCCCAGAGGTCCTGCAGTGCCTGCTGGTGGCAGGGCCCCAAGGGAAACCTGGCTGGGAGAAAGGGGCCAAGAAGAGCCCACCCTGTCCCCTCTGCTCCCTCTGCCCACCCCCTGGCCTCTGGGGTCTGTGGCCAGCGGCTCGGGCTACCTGTAGGTGGTGGGACAGGTGCAGGGCAAAGGTGTTGTGGGCGCCATCCACCAGGAGGCAGGTGCCCATGTTGGCGGTGGTGTTGTGCAGGTCGAGGACAAAGTCGAAGGCCCGGTCGGAGCCAGAGGCCTTGGGCCCCAGCAGCTGGTCCAGTTCCCGAGCTCTCGTCAGTTCGTGCGGGTCATTCGGAGTGGCCCTGGAGCTGTGGGGTGGGAATGGGCACCAGCCCCCACATCTCAGGCTGCCGGCAGGAGAGCCTCAGTGTGGCTCAGGCCTGGGCCTGCCCCTGCTCCTGGCCCTCGTTGGCTCCCCCTTCCCCATGAAGGGCAAGCTCTGCCTGCCCCCCCCCCCCCGCCACCTGCCTCATGCTGTCACTTGGGCCACACTTCCCCAGCACCATGCTGGTGCCACCACGAGGCCTGTGTCCTTGCATGGCCCTCTGCTGAAAACCCCTGCCTCCTCCCTTCACCTGCCCAACTGCCTACCTCTGGGGCTTGGTGGAGACACCACCTCCTCCAGGAAGCCTTCCCTGACTCTCTTGGCCAGGCTCTGTGCTCTGTGCAGCCCCAGTTCCTGCATTTAGCCTCCTGGGCTGTGGTTGAGTTCTTGCTCCATGTCCCCCAGTAAGCTAAGGCCACCCCCCTGGTCTTCTTCCCCATCCTCCTGCCCGAGGGGTCCAGAGCCTGGCTGGAGCTGGGACCCAGTGAGGCCCACAGGAGGAGGGCGTGCACACCAGTTGGGCACAAAGCTGGTAGACAGGACCTGAGGCTGATCTGAGGGAAACTGGCCATCAGGAAGGGCTTCCTGGAGGAGGTGACATGGATCAGGATTTCTCTAAACTGAAAAGAGAGGAGGAGGCAGCGTAGCAGAGGGGGACCAGCGCGGAGGCAGGAGCAGGCCCTGCTGGTGCCGGAGGGAGGTGCGGTGGGGCTGTGGTGCATGGGGCCTCGCTGGGGCCAGGCCAGGGCACTCACGCGAGTAAGGTGTCCGTGAAGGTGCGGTTGAGGTCACAGTCCACATAGCGGCGGCAGGCGGCCGCAGCCCCCGGGTTAGCCAGCACGGGCGTGGCAGAGAAGCTGGGTCTCCGCAGCTCCCYGGGGTCCYGCAGCCAGTGCCGGGCCAGGTAGAYGCCAGACAGCTCGTTGCCATGGGTGCCGCCGGTCACGGCCACACGGCGCAAGGGCGCCCGGGGCACCGGTACGGAGCACATCCCTGTGTGGTGGAGCACAGAACGGCTCCGTGACGGTGACACCCGGCCTGGGAAGTTCCTGCCCTGAGCCGAGAGAGGCCCAGGCTTTGGGGTGCATCCCGACAGCAGGGGGACTCTGCCCCCATTGTACAGACAGGAAAGCTGAGCCRGCCTCAGGGAGCAGCCGGGCTCCAGGGGACCCCTGGGCCTCCGGCGCCTCGTGTGCGCCTGTGTGCGCCTCTGAGCTGGTGCCGGACTTCGGGAGGCCGCTGCCTACCTGCTGATGCGGGTCTGGGCTTCCTGGGCCCGGGCTGCGGCACCTGCCTGCTGGACGGGGCTGATCGTGGGCCTGGAGATTTCCAAGCAGGAAGCGCTCCTGTCGGCGGCGGCCAGCAGGGCTGTGGGGGATGGGCAGGTCCCTGCAGCCAAAGGTTGCCCTGGTCTCCTCCCACCGCAGCTCCGCCCAACCGCCACAGCCCACTGGGTCTCTGTCTTGTGGGCAGGTTCCTGTCTTTGCCTTCTGTCCATCTTCTGACCCCAAGGGTCACTCAGGGGCTGGGCACGGCCTTGGGGACTTATTTGCAGAGGTTCCCTAAGACCTGGATGTCGACCAGAGAAGATTGGGCTTTGCAGACTGCCGCGTGCCAGGTGTCCAGCCATGGGTGGACGGGCCTGGGTCCAACCCAGGAGCCACTGGCTAACAGGGGCTAAGTCCACCCGGATGGGCACCTTCATTAAGGCTCAGAGGTGGTGGCGGTGGGGTGGTGGCCACCCCCACACCTGGCCACTGAAAGTCTCYATGGAGGCACGCACCCTGCTGGCCACCCAAGTAGGAGTCCCCTTGCCTCCACTAGCTCAGAGCAGGTCACTCCTTGCAGCCCCTATAGGACCAGGGTCACTCCAAGGTCACCCATCCCAAAGGACTGGCTCCCAGTGGAGTCTGGTTTTATGGCTCTTTGATGCTTGAAAAAAGGACCTCGGTGCTTCACGGGTATCTTAGTTATTTCCGGACAACGTTGACCCTCCCACCCACTCACACATGTCAGGGGACAAAGGTGAAGTCCCCTCACCCAGCTCTGCGGGCAGGACCCAAGGATAGTCCAGAGTCACCGAGGAGAGAAGCCGAGCGGAGGTAGTCAGCCGTCGGACGGGTCACCGTCCTCTTGTGTGCCAGGTGGCGTTCTGAAGGGACCTTCCCCAGGCTTCAGGSCTTTGCCACATCGGATGGAGGCCAGCCTGGGACCCCGGTGGCCAGCCCCCTAGGCTGACCCTCCGAGGCCACCCAGCTCACACTCAGTTCCTGTGTGGCCTGGCTGCCCTCACTCTCCTCCCTCTACCCCCAAGGCTGGGGACCTTGGCGAGTGYCTGCATCTTGCTGGGGTCACCAGAGGGTGGTAAAGGTGTAAAAGCTCCTCCAGGAGCCACCGTGCAGGGACCTGGGCCTCAGCAGAGACCTCCCTGAGGACCTCTGGGAGGGCCGCTGACCCTTCCTTGGCTCTACCCCTGGAGGGCAGCCTAGGAGGCTCTAGGAGGTGGAATGACTATGCAGAGCCACCCCTGCAGGTGACAGGCAGTGGTGGAAGGAGCCAGMGGACAAACCTGCCTCCCTCCCTCCCAGGCCCTGCTCATGCTTTGGGCAGGGGTCTCTGGGCCCTGTTATGAGTCCAAGGTCTTGGTYTTCATCCCAAAGGCCCACCCAGGCTGCTGGGATCCTGCTGACTCATGTAGGATCTCACAGGAAGAAAGGGGCTACTCAGGGAACCTGGCTGCTTGGAAGCCAACCCTTCTCTGTCTGGAGACCAAAGTGCTCCCTCCCAGGAGATGCTGGGTCCCCAGCTCTGCAAAGGGCAAGGGCAGGGAGTGCTTAGGAATTTTCACTTCTCTTAGCTGTGGTCTCACTTCCCCATTTCGKTGGGTATTTATAGAATGGGGGTGGGGGGCTGGAATCTGAGGCAGGAGCTCTCAGAAATGGCACCCAGTTGAGTAGGTGGAGGCAGCCTGCTGAGCTACACCTGGGAGCCCAGGAAGGGGAGGGCCCTTCCCCTGGTTCTGACCCCCTAAACTCAAGAGGCTGTGTGATCTGGAGAGAGCTGGTGCCCTCTCTGGGCCTCAGCTCCTACTAGGGACAGGAGGTGGGGCTCTCTCCTAGCCAGGGGCAGTGGTGCACAGGGCGGGCCCAGGCCTGGTTGTCCTTCCCACCAGCTTCCCTAGAAAGCTCAGCCCAAGGGAGGCCYGGGCCCAGTCCTGGGTGGCATATGACTCCTGAGGGTGACATCCCAGACCCAGATGCGTGTGTGTGGCTGTTCCCACATGCTCCCAGGATGGCAGCTCCCACGGACGCGTCCTAAAGCCCCCTGAGGGCTGGGGTGCTGCTGGGGGGGAAGCAGCCCTGGGGCAGTGAGCCGGGAGGGCTCCTGGATTCTGGGATCCTGCCTCGGGGACAGCAGATGGCAGGACRGCAGTTCACACCACACTCACACTCTGGACCCTGGAGGGGCTCAGAGCCACCTTTATGATCAGCTCCAGCGTCTGCCCGGCCTCGGGGAGACCCCAGACCCCTCCAGTCAGAGGGTGCAGAGGGACTTTGGCACAGACAGGGACTGGCCAGCATCCAGAGGTCTGTTCAGAGAAAGCCCCAGCAGTGGGGTCCTCAMGCCTCAGACTGGTCACCTGCCTTTCGGGGACCCGGGGCATGTGGGTCGCGGCCGGCAGCCCGGGTGGGCGGCAGGATGCAGGGTGGGTGGGTGCTGGAGGTGGGCGGGGCTCAGAGGAGGGTGCAGCTCTGCGAGTCCAGGGCCCACTGTATCAGCTTCTGGCTCCAGTGGCCGTAGGGCGGGTAGCGGATCCCGTTGAGCTGCTCCAGGCCCGAGGGGGCCAGCACGCAGGCGCGGTGGTGCGAGAAGGTGTCGAAGGAGAACTTCCCGTGGTACCTGCCCATCCCGCTGTGGCCTGCAGGGGCGGAGGAGGTGGGCGTGAGGCTGGGCGTCCCCTCCAGCCCAGGGGCCGCCACCGCCCCGGCCAGAGGCCCACAGCTGGCAGGGAGCTCAGAGAGCTAGGCCACCCTGAGGGACCTTCGACAGATGGGGAAACCCAGGCCTTGCAGGTCCAGGGCCGCGATCAGGGTGAGCAGTGAGGAGGCGACTGGAGCAGGTGGGGACAGGAGGGCAGGAGGCAGGGACGCACCCACTCCACCCAGCGGCAGGGATGGCAGAGTCATGTAGATGAAGCCATCGTTGCCACCAAAGTTGCCGCTGCTGGTCCCCTCCAGGACCTGGTTCACCACCTGCAGGGGAGGGCGTGGCTCAGGGAGAGGCTCGAGCCTGCACCCAGGGGACATCTCCGGGCCTCCCGCTGCCACCCTCCACCGAGCATCCCAGAAGGGTGCAGAAATGAGGAAGCCCCAGAGCAGCGAGAGGCGTGTGCCTGTGACTGTGACTGTGAGGTACCGTTAGGACATTGTAGCAAAGTGCATCCGCCCACAGCCACCAGCCTGGCTCTCACTGGGGGACTTGCACCGTCCCCCGTCCRTCCCATCTGGGGCTCTGCTCCCTGTGGGGACCCTTTACATGGTTCAGAGAAAGGGGGATCCCTGAGCACCCCTTCCCCCAGGAGGAGGCTGCCCAGCCAGACAGACAGCTGGACACCTGGCTCCAGCAGGTTGTGACCCCACCCAGGTTCCCTCTGCCAGGTGGCAGTGACACCAGGCAGCCTGGAACATAGTCACCCTGGAGGTGACAGCTGTCCTAATCTGCCCCCCAGGGCCTTGGAAGAGGACGGGGCCATCCACTCCTGCYGGGCCGCACCTGGGAGCTGTTGGAGAAGGCGTACAGGGCCAGGGGCTTCTCCCTCCGGTTGATGAAGTCGATGGCTTCATCCAGGCTCCTCACGGTCACCAGGGGCAGGATGGGCCCAAAGATCTCCTCCTGCATCACGGGCTCCGTCTCCTGCACGTCCACCAGCACAGTGGGCGCTGCGGG